CCAGAATTTTTCACCGCCAAAAAATGAAAACAAATTAACTGGACTTCTGAATGGGATACTTGCATCACGAAGCATGTCATGGGGCGAGGTGAGAGTGGAACTGATTCTGATAACACCGAATGGCCTTGTAGAAACAGAAAGAGTACACTGTGGTTTTGTCTTTGGTTTTGTTTGTCTAGTTATTTTTTCAGGTTTGTGACATCTATCTCCCAGTAGAATGGTAACGCTCACATATTTCACATATTTCACACATTTCACACATTTCACACATCTCACATATTTCACATATTTCGCATATTTCACATATTTCACATATTTCACATATTGGTATACCTATTGATCTCTTTTTGGCAAGCTTATTACTCAAAAGCTCTTGCTGCTTTTCTCGTTCTGCGTCCTTCTTAATCGCTTGTTTCCTTTTTTCTTTCTCTCTGTCTTGTCCGTCGTCTTGTTGTGCTTCGTATTTTATTCTAACCATTTTCACTGCATTACCGCGATAGGGTAGGACTAGAACGGAACATCTGCGAACCATGCGAGTAATCCACCCAATAAATCCCACCCATCCCACCCCAGGGGGGATGGGTGAGATTTCAAGATTCATCAGGTTTTCTTCTTTGTCGTGTTCCTCTAGATTGTCTATCACTCCATCTTTTTCTATTGTTATCTCTTCACTCCTGTTTTCCGCTTGTTAAAAAAATATGAAAAAAGGTGAGGCTATATGGCCTTCATTTGTCCTTTCTATTACTTTCATGCTCTAAAGTAGGTAATTCAATTTCATAAGAATACTGTAATACGTATTCTAAATAAGAATGGGTGATTAATGGTCTAAATAGGTGTAATTAATTTGTAACTAAAAGTTGTGTCCTCCTCTGATTACTTTGCGTGATGAACTAGAGTGAATTGGACTGATTTGGTACCCGCTTACAACAGAGTAGTTTGCTCGGTGTAACTTGTATAAACAATTTTATTAAAAACTGGATCATTGGATAATGCAAGCCAAGACTTTTTATTGGCTTAGCCATTATGGCATATGAACCATTACACCATAATCTATTATCTGTGCATTGCAACATCCGGTTTCTTCTTACGAAACAAAGTCTAGAAGATTTGCCTAATATCTTGGGGGCGTTTTTTTTTAATAAAACAATTATTCCATTCGCGCTTGTTGGATATGAGATGATTATAGCCAACTCAGCGCTACGCGCCTTGTTGGCCATCTATCATCTCATATTCAACGAGCGCTCGTGAAATAATTGTTAAATAGACCCACTTTTTGCTTTATCACCTTATGATTACGAAGCAACATTAAAAACCTTCTGCCTTAATATGCCTGCAGTTTGGCTTACAAAGCCTGTCTAATAAAAAAATTATGCGAGCTAAGACAAGAAAAAAGTGAATCATTTAGGGAGCGAATACACCCTAACAATTTTAGAAAAACAAAAGACCGCACTTTCTTTCGCTTTATTGGCCTAATAAGTCTCGCGGGAAGCTGAGAGAACCCAAAATACCAGAGAACCCAAATAATAAATCTCGTCATTGGTTATTAATTTGGTCACTTCCCTCTCGTTCTTCCAACATTTTGTGTCTGTTATCAGGTCAACTAGCCAATAGAAAGAGCGGTCCTTTTTTTTAAACTAATATTTAATATCACTTAAGCGGTTGCACTGTTGTAAGGATGATTTGCTGCGAACCTTTTGCTTTAGGAACGCGAAACTTCAAACTCGCGGAAGAATGAACATTGACTCACCACGCTGAACCTTACCAACCCATCCTGAAATATTCGGAAACCAATGCCAAGAATAATTCCAACGAATTCTTTGAGAGATTTAATTACTATTAAAAGGAATAGTGGCTATAACCTTAGATCAAATAAAGGACTTCTGTTGTTACAACCGAACAAAACTTTGAAAACATTAGGTGATTGGGCATTTTCTGCTGCATCACCAAGACTCTGGAACAGCCTCCCTCTGGAGCTTCGTAACGAGAGGAACCTGTCAAAATTCAAGAGCTCCTTAAAAACTTACGTTTTTTAGATTAGCTTCTTATTAGATTTTATTTTATTTTATGTACTTATTTGTAAATAGTTTTATATAGGGTTTTATTAAAAACTGGATCATTGGATAATGCAATTCAAGACTTTTTGTGATACAATGAATATATCAAGTTCATATATTTTGAACTGCGGTATTAGATACGTGATTTATTATCACGGGTTTATTACCAATCAACTTAACGGCCTGCTCCCAGTTGGCTTGTTAGCTCAAATGGAAGAGCGCTGCACTAGTATCGCAGAGGTCAGTGGTTCGAATCCCGTACAGGCCTGAGTTTTTCAGGTCTGATTTTCGCTATTGCATAAGTAGCGCTCTCTACTGCGAGGATCGTGCATCATACGTATCAAGACTTTTTATTGGCTTAGCCATTATGGTATATGAGCCAATATACCATAATCTACAAATATGGTAAGCATACGCGTCAGTTTAAAATTAAAAGGGAGTAAAATATTAAATAAAATTTAATAATTTAATTTAACGTTTTTAATAAAACAATTATTCCGCTCGCGCTTGTTGAATATGAGATGATTATAGCCTACTCGGCGCTACTCGCCTCGTTGGCTATCTATCATCTCATATTCAACGCGTGCTCGTGGAATAATTGTTAAATATTTAATTTTCTTCATATAGTTAATACTTATTATAATCTTACATGCACATTATGTATATATATTT